CTCCTCAAGGCTTCCTTCCCGCCCTTCGGCTCCCAGTACTGCCCTTCGCCCCTGGCCGCCAGGCAGCCCCCCGGAGGCTCGGCTGCAGCCGCCAATCACACGCCTGCCCTCTACCAGAGCGCCTACTCCCTGCCTGACCCCCGACACTTCCACTGCATCTCCGTCGGTGAGTCGTCGGGAGCCCGGAGCTTGAGGGAGGGAAGGAGCGAGGTCCTGGGGGAGAGCACTCCGGGAAAGGGAGGGAGGGAGCACCTGTCTTCAGCAGAGATGGGGAAAATGAGTTGTGGGGTCTACAGCTCCCCAAATCTTCAGGCCAGCCCACCCAGTATAACTCACACGGGAGTTGTAGTCTAAAAACGGCAGCTGAGATGCTACCCCGCGTAACTGACAAGAGACGTCTGAGCGCACCTGGCCTGGGAGGCCACCAGAAACCTTGAAATCGGAAGTGGGGCTCGTTTCCCGTTGGAGTGCGCCAAATTTTGGCACCTCCTTCCGAAACAGAGCGCAAGGGTTTCCGGCGAAACCTAATTCCAGTAATCCAGCTAAGGACCCAAGTGCAAATATATTTAGGATAGGGGCCCTTTGGACTGAAGAAAGAGGAGGGGCAGCTTTAGAATCATGGACTTCCCCCTTGCCCCCAAGTCTGTAGAATCAGTCCTCAGAGAAAGTTAAAGGCGTTGCAGAGGCTCTTGGTGCGTAAAGCGCACCGATCTACGCTGATTATTAACGACGGAATTAACGAAAACCCGCAGGACGGGCTGAGAAGCCTCTGGAACCCAATCTTGTAGATTTGATTGTTGTTGTTATGTGGCAACGACATCATAGCGACCCTAATAGGCCTTTCAAGGTAAATTAAATATTTTTAAAGAGTGATCTTACCAGTTCCACTCATCCAGGGAGTTTCCATGGCTGAGCCGAGATTTGAACTCAGGGCTCCTGAGTCCTAGTCCGTCAGTCTACCCATCCACTCTCTCACATTGGGTATCAGATCGGATTACAAACTGCCATTTCAAAATGGGCAATTTACAACATGCAAAGGATTGAAGGCCTTGAAAGGGTCCTTTCTAGGAAAGAAAGCCCCGCGAAATTCAGTGGGGAGTGGACAGAGTCCTGTTCATAGATAGGGTGTTATGCGTAGTATGCCCAAATACTGTAGCGCGGAAACACCTACTCCGCAATGTGCAGAATGAGATAGGCACCTGTCGCCTCTCCTTTGGGAAAAGGATTCTCTTCAACCTCTCCGCGGCTCTGGATCTCGGGAATCTCTAGATTCCTTCTCTTTACTGTATCCAGAAAGGGGAACTGCTAAGTGGTCTCTTAGCCAGAACTCGAGAATGTTAGTTTTTTCGCCTCGACTACAACTGCCAGAATCCCCCAACTAGTACGCCCAACGGTTTAGTTGAGTGTCTAGGAACCAGCGCGCGAGAAAATAACTTTGGGTGGCTACAAGTCCCCCAGAGTTATTTTCCCGGGTATTTTCCCGGGCTTGTTTCCCGGCGCCTGAGGCTATCATTTCGGATGGAGGAGCTTGTTTTCCCGCACCCAGGGAATTTGGGATCCGGTCCCGCCTTGACGCTGTGCTTTTCCTCCCTCCTTTCCAGACAGCACGTCCGGCCAGTTGCCCAGCAGCAAGCGGATGCGCACGGCCTTCACCAGTACCCAACTTTTGGAACTGGAGCGGGAGTTCGCCTCCAACATGTATCTGTCCCGGCTGAGGCGCATCGAGATCGCCACCTATCTGAACCTCTCCGAGAAGCAGGTGAAGATCTGGTTCCAGAACCGCCGCGTCAAACACAAGAAGGAAGGCAAGAGCGGCGGTGGGCTTGGCGGCTCCCACCGCGCCGGCGGCCCGATCGCGACGCATAGCTGCAAGTGTGCCTCCCTCTCCGCCGCCGCCGCCGCCGCCGCTGCTGCTGCCTCGAAGTGCTCCGAAGACGACGAAGACTCGCCCACCTCCCCTTCGTCCTCCAGCAAAGATGAGAGAGACCTTGCCGTCACCCCCTAAGCAAAGGACCCGTCCCTACCGACGGCGCGCCTTGGCTCCATGCGCCAAAAGGACGCACCAAGATTCTCTCCATGCTGGTATAGCGGTGTAAACCAGAAGAGACTTTTGGACTGGACCCCTGAAACCCAGGGGGCTTGGCAGACTCTGTACATAGGATTTCCCCACCCCCGGAGCTGTCGGGAAAGGAGGAGTATAATATTCCCCATCAGAATCAGCTCTCTTTCCCCCTCTCTGTTACAGAGCAGGTTGAAATTGTGTACCTAGAAAATGGAGATAGCCAATAGCGCCCTTTCTCTTTCCCTCTGGCTTTCTCTTTCAAAGAAGGGGTGGGAGAAAGGAGGGAAACTTGGCTCATCTCTGTTTGTGTCTGGGGATCCTTCCTCTTTACTTTCTCGGACCCTGCGCTGCTCCTTCTCTTTCTCCCGCTTTCCGGCTTAGAGCCTGTCCTGTACAGGGTCATCTCATCAGTTTTAGAGGTAGGGGATTAAGGAGGAGACTCGTGGGTTGACAGTGGCTGGTTTATCTTCGCGTCCCCCTGTCCAAACACCCTCTCTTTTTAAAAAAAGTGTCGTTTTGTTGACGTTTCTTCAGATCCTATAGCGGTGTGTGACTGTACTGTTTTCTGTAACATCAGGAAATATTTATTTATTTATTTATGTACACTTTTTCCAAAATATTTTAAATAAATAAAAGGATTTCCTCCCCTGTCATTAAAATGTTTTCCCCACCACCTCCTTTGTAGGAAGAAAATGAGAGCCATGAAATAATTCCCTTTGTTGATATCCATTTGGCACCATCGCCTCCAACAGAAGTACATTAGAAAGTCCGATTGAGTTGAATGAAGAAATTGAGCACCCACCGAACTCTTCCGCCTGCAATGAGAGGAATGGGAATTACAATGGGAATTACAATGGAAAGTACAATTTCCCTTCACTTAATTTTGGCTGGTTAGTGCTCATAGTCTGGATGGTCCAATAATTCATTCATTCATTAAAAAAAATAAAGTCCAAATTTATTTCTGTGAGGAAGGATAACTTTCCCCCACTGAAACTAGTGGGATGTGAAATTGCTTCTATTGGACCTGCTTGTTAGGTTGCAAGGGCTCAGATCTCCTTTCTACCTTAAGTTACAGGGATCCTCGTCTTAAGAAATATTGAGCTACATGCATCAGCAATGTATGTCTATGTTCAGTTGAGGACTTAGCTGAGACCAGGCTGTAAGTGTTGAAGGGAATCAGCCAGGGAGTGCAGCTGGAAGCAATGACTAATCACCACAGCCCTGCACTGATTTAGCACAGGAGCCAAACCTATATGGGGCGGTGGTGGTTACTTACTGCTTCCAGCTGCACTCCCTGGCTGATTCTCTTCAACACTTACAGCTAGTCTCAGCTAAGCCCTCAACTGAACCACCACAGTATGACAGCAGACATCCATAAAAGAAGGATTTGTGTGCAATATATTATGTGTTTACATTCTGCACAACAAGTTTATTGTATAAATAGTATGCATATTACATATTTTTCACACAAACTTTTCCTTTATTAAGTTATTTGTTTTTCTCTAGCTAAAGATGAAAAGTCACAGTCCTAAATATTTTTGACTTGGAAATAAATCTGATTTGGGGGTGCATTTGGTTTGAGATCTCACCTTCTCCTCTGAGGATAACAGGGAGCTGAATAAAATATACTCCCTCTCAATCTTAAACGGCATTTACAAAGGTTTCGTGCGCATTTGAGTAAGTAGTCATTTTTCTTATTTTTGCTCTTCGGACCATCACGATCAGTAACATATTGCCTCGTATCTCCAGGAGTAGCTCTATGAGTCTGTTGCAGAAAAGACAGCCAGGGGTTTTGCGCAGAGTGTGTATTCTGTGCTATCAAGGCACATCCAACCCGTAGTGGTCTTAGCAGGTTTTCAAGGTAAGTGGGATATTTAAGGAGTGGTCTTACTGCTCTCTGAACCCTGTGAGTTTTCATGGCTTAGCAGGAACTGGATCCCTGGGCTCTTGAACCGCAGTCCCTCACACTGTCCACTACAGGTCTCATAATATCACAGAATCCTACTGAGATAACAATCTAATTAGACATCGTTCTATAGTTGGAAATGAATAAAGCCTCAATTCTAAACATGTTTTTTTTTCTTGGCATTAAACCACAGTGATTTTTCAGAAATTTAATTGTTTCATTTTCAAGAACTCAACTTGCCAACGCCTCTCATCCGGCAAAATGTATTCTTCCATCGTTCTGAAACCTCTGGACACCCAGCGATCTTGCGACCAAACTCTTAAAAAGGTCGGCTTGTTTGTTATGGTAGCCACTTCTGTCTTCTAAACAAACCCCAAGAGCTACGGCTTTATTCCCTTGCCCTCCCAAATCTATCACGTCCTATTTAAAAAAAAAAAGAAATCAAGGAAGGTAGATGGTTTTGAAGAACGTGGAAGTGCAGACCTTCACAAGTCAACCTTTTCCTTTCCCAGCCTGAAATACAGAAGGCTATAAACACTGTCTTGGGTTATTCTATCCGTGCTCATTTTTTTTCCTAAGACAATTTCTATTTAGCATTCCCTGTTTCGCAGAAAGATTTCTCCATTTATCCTTAATATTCAAATCTGGAAATGAAGGGCTGGCATTAAAACGAATCCCAGAATTTCCTGCCACCTAAAGGCGCTGGTTGAAAGGAATTTTTAGGCGGTCCTTTACGCTTTGCCCTTGAAGATGAATTGAAGTTGGCCTAGTGATATTTCCAATGTGCAGGACAAGGTGTTGCCCATTTCACTAAGCCCTTTCCTTGCGCCCACACGTAATTAGGTATTTTTCACTACTTCAGTGGAAGGATATTGGAGTAAATAAACAACCAAGGATTTTGCTGCGTGTTAAAGACGAGACAGAAATACTGGGGAAAGAAAACGTTATGGATAATGACAAAATGTGAAAGAATTCAGGACAAAGCGTTTTGCATCCACCTTAATCATTAAGCTCCGCTGCAGTAAAACATCGAATCATTTTTCCTTTTGATAGTCACGAAACCCCTTTACTATTCCGCATGTATATTAATGTGAACCAAAAATATAACGCAGTTAACAAGTCTTCTTGCTCTCAGAGGGTTTTAGTCTCTGGAAATATGTCCCTCCAGCACTTTATAGAGGCTAACTCAGAAAGGTCTGCTCAATTCCACGAGACTCTTCCCGGAGAAAGAGCAGACACGATTGGAGCCTCACCTACAGCGCCGGGGTGCTATCGGGCCGAAGGAAGGGGGTTGGCTAGCAAGGGAATTTTGGCTGAAGAAGTGGGAGATCAGATGTGGTCTCTTCGATCGGATGTTCTCCCTACAACGCCACGTCTACTGCTTTTGGGTCTCTTGCGTTTTCCTTTCCATGCAACGTCCTAAAAATTCCATTTTAGAAAATAGATCTATCTCGCTATTAAAATCCAAGGTGTGGTAAAACATCTTCTAGGCCCGCTAAACCTAATGGTAACTTAAAAGGAACGAAACTGTCTGTTTCAGCTTCCTAAATCAAACACCTTGCCATCAGGAACTACGTTACATAAACCGGAGAGGGATCCTCGCTTGATTTTTTTTAAAGGAACGTAATTTGCGCCCTGTCTTACGGAGTCGTGGAGGAGGAGACGGTCTAGAATATCGTAAATCAGCTGGCAGGCCATTTTGCTTGAACGTCAAGCCGTCCCTTTCCCGAAAAGTTTGAGCACAGACTTCTGGGTCTTTTCAGTCGGCTTTAAATAAGGCTCAACCACCACGTGGATTTGGAAACTTCGCTTACAAACGACGCGACCGTTCCTGAATTTTCCAGCAGAATTATACAGAGGCTCAAAGGCGGAGGAAGTTCAAGGGGGTGTTTTTGCCCTAGGGCGAGAGGAAAGCGGGCCCGCTGAAAAGGAATAATCCCAGCTAGCTAGAAGAAGGGTCCCTGCCCTACCGTTGAGACCCAACCACAGTTTCTTAGTCTTGACTGACGCGTGCCTCAGGGAGACCCAAGGAAAAGGAATTCGCTTTGCGGCTCTATACAAATTTACCTGGCAACGAAATAGAAATGAAATCTTAAAAAAGATAAAAACTTGGTGGCACCTTAAAGACTCATGTTTATATACATATATTTTAATGTGAGCCTTCGTGGACTTGTCATCTTCGCTGCAGCAGACTGATGATATTAGTCTTCTTCTTCTATATGTTTAGATTTATGCTGCTATCCTTTTAAAATTAGGCTGCTGTTTAATCAAATGCTTTTGTCCATTTACAGCTCAGTTGGAACAGACCATTCTTGGGTTTTAAATGATAATTGGTTCCACTGAAGGCAACTGAAAGGGATGCAGGCTGCTAGTCATCTGCTTATAGGCAGAAGATCTTCCTAGAAAGGTACCAGGATTGGCAGAAATCAACACACACCCTTTTCTCATTCACAAGATTGAAAAAGCAACACGTGCTGTACGTTGGTTTCCTATGCAGCTACTGAAGGTTGCGAAGCAACATCTATATCAAGTGGCAGAAAGAAACATCAGACCTCAAATTGAACCTTGAAGTGTAAGATTAATCAGTCATTCTTGGAAGCATGTTTATTATTTTATGTATCCAAGGATTGCGGGCCACCAACAAGAAGACCCAACTCCTTATTGGGCTTTTTGACCTCCCTCAGTGTGGCCAGTTTTAGGAGCATGGATTGAGAGAAGCAGGTAAAACTGACAAGTACTGAGGTCCTAACTGTTCAGGGATTAACTATGGCTTTGAACTGAACATGGAAACTGAAAGGAAGCCAATGAAGGTGAGCAAAGATTAGGGATATATTATCAGATTTGTTAGTCCCATAAATCTGTCTATGTGCTGCATTTTTGGACCAGCTCAAGTTTCCGTACTGTTTTCAAGAGCAGCCCTACATAGAAGTATTATAATTGTCTACTTTTCATATTACCAGTGTTTGAACCATGATTACTAGGCATTGGATCATAGCCTATTTTAGTGTCAAATAGAGTAGGATCTTTGAAATGAATGAGATTTACTTACTGAGACAAGTCTCATCACTTCAGTAAGTCTACTCTAGTTACAACTAGAACAGGATTTATCCTACTGTTAGTAATGGTACTTAATTTTAGTTAAACATTGAAGAATTGAGGTTGAGTAGGGACAGAGGATAGGTCTTAAACAAAGTGTTCAATATTAGTTTATTATTAAGGGCCTGAGAAAGATTAGTGATTTCATGGTGAGGGAATGACTCCACCCAACCTCTACCTACATTTTTTAGAAGAGCAGCTGTGGCATTTGCCCTTGTGGCCCCTGTTTGTCTCATGAAACACAGAGCTCACAAAGGCAAACCAAAACACCTCTTGACATGCTGCCACCAGTTGATCTCCTTATCAAATTACTTTAGTTAGAAAAGATGAAGGTCCATTCAGTACTGACTTTTTAATAGAACAGGTTTATTGATTACAGTCTGGAAGAATTCATAAGCACATCTTCAAATTTCATCAAGCTTCAGTATTAACCTTCTATAGTAATTACCACAGTTTACACTCAATCACTCCTCAGACCCCAAACTACCCTTCTCTCTGATTCCTAACAAAGGCTGAACTCCGACTAGACTAGACTGACTTCTCTCTCAG